GGCTCCCAAGGAATATGCGAGTCAAAAAAGGTTGGGAACCGCTGCAGTAGAACCTTAATTATCTGAAATAATATTAACTGTGCTACCTTTGATAAATAAAATCGTTTAACTAAAATACAATTCATTAAATATAAATTGTATTTAGTTAGTTCTACACTTTTTACCCTTTGTATCAAATAGAAATCTACAAATTAATTCATAAATTATCAAGTTCTTTTATCCATGTTTTACTTCAGATACACTGCTATTTATTTATGATTTTGTTAATTGACAAAATTTCTCCAACTAAATAAATACTGCTTATAAAATTACATACTGTACATTGTCAATTATTATTAAAATAAATTAAATTTCAATAACAATGACTGTACCACATTTTATTCCATTTTTAATCAGTTTATATCTAAAATTTTGATAACACAAAAAAAAAACATTAAGATAGCATATGTCAAATTCTAAAATTATCTCAAATATTTGAATAAATAAATAAAAAAAACAAGTAACCAACCATGATTGAAAAGTACTGAATTTATCTTCAGACATAATTACTCGAATAAATAATCTGATATGTGATAAAATCAATATACATTTCTCTAAATAACATCTCTAGAGCTGTATGAAAGATACCTTCAACATTGCTATAGAATGATCAAAGGTTGAATCATTAAAAAGAAAGCAAAACTAACAATTTATTTAACACATTAATCAAAATCTGATAAGTGTAAATTTTAAATATTTCATTGTATCTGACTATTTCAAAATCAGTTTTATCATTTTATCCACGATAAAAGTTTGATATAAGATGATATTTATGATTTTTATATATAAAATTGCAATTAATTTTTAATCAATCACTAAATTATTCCCAATTGATTTGTTTTACTTTGATAAACGAGAAACTTTCTCCTCGTACAGAAATACAAACTAGCTTGGAAAAAAACAGTAATTGAATTCTAAAAAAACTTAAATGTTCCTGTATTTAAAGATAACTTTGCAATTTCCAATAGTAGGACTATTGTGAATATTGTAATTTAAATTTTTATTTGATCTGATAATGATACTGATGAGTCCTGAAATGTTAATCTGCTGATAAAATTTTGACTTTATACCTTTATATATTTTTCAAATCTTTTGCTGTTTGCAAATAATCATGTAATGCACACTATACTTTGTACTGCGCAATTATAATAAACTCCTACACAATGCAGGGATATGTTCAGCATTATACAAACCACGTTAGTTATGTATAAACTATGAGTTTGGTATCAATTCTTGCAATACATACATAATACGTGTGGTTCATACCATGCAATTTTCTAAAAAGCAAAACATATCCCCCATGTTATTCAGGGTTAACTGTATTTGGCCTGTTACTCTAAAGTGGCCTGATATCGACTCAACCATTAAAATTTCTGGTTGAACATGATTTGAATACGGATTCACCAGAACCTAGTGCCTTTATCACACTTCAGCCATCTATTCGTCAAATTAGTATACCTGTATAACTAGTGTTTCGGTCAAATTATGAGTCAATTAATACAGAAAGAGTCTAGATCATTCTTTCCTTGCATCTTTGAAGGTTCTAGATCAAAGAATAGATGATTTTCAACTCTGTTAAAGAATGTAGAAGGTATGGTTGCTGTATGTTCAAATTCTGTGTGTAATCCAAAAACAATTCTTGACAGACGACCAAACAGCAATTGGTTAGGAAAACATTACAGTTTACTTAAAACAATTTTTTACTCAAATGCTAGCGTCCTTGTAATCCAATGTATTTTAATAAAAAATTGTTTTAAATAAACCAATTGCTGTTTGGTCATCTGCCAAGAATCATTTTTGGATTATAAAGACACTACACAGAATCTGTTAAAGAAATTGGAGCTTATGTAATTAAACATATTTAAGAAGATAAAATAAAATTAATGTTTTAGATTATTATGCTATGAAACTCTTAGACTATTAATTACATATAAAACCAAGGATGATGTATTTGTATATTAACGAACAAAAAATACCACAAGATTTTAAAATTGCACCATAATATGGCTAATTGATTAAAAAAGTATGTAATAATCTAGACTCAAGTTATTAAGCCAACACCCTGGATTATTAAACACCTTGTATTAAAACACACTGACATGATAAACAGAAGTTGCAGGTTTGAGTTCTGCCCAGATTGATCTTTTCTTCCATAATATTTTAAATTTTATAATGAATGAATAATCTATTTCAAAGTAAAATTTCAATTAAATTTTTCTAGAAAAGCATTATGATAATAGATTGCCATAATTTACAATAATTTCAAAAAATTGCCAATCTATTGGTGAATGTAAAAACAAGGGCAAAAGGGAGTGGGGCTGTAAAATGTACTTTGGAGCTGGAGATGATTGAAAGTGGAAAATATGGTTCTAGTGGTGTATGGTTAAAAAGTTAATGGCTGCCTTTCAAAAATAGATAAGGTAATCATCATCAAAATCTATAAGTAAAATTTTTATCTACGTATGTATATTCACACGTCTAAAAAGATGCACAATTCCTTACAACTTGTATAGGGGCTGATGAGAGACAATGTGGTCTGAAATGCATTCCTGAGTTAATGTAAACCAATAAACATTGATGATTTCCTAATCAAGTTATATTTCCTATTCTGTGTATAATAAATCTGGTATTATGACAGATGTTGATAGCCATTAATAAAACTAACAGACAACAATCAGACAAAGCAAATTCAAGAAATAAGACTAATAAGAACTGATCATACTAAGCTAGATAATAATAAAAAAAATATTTAATTTATTAATAATTATGATAAAATTGTTAAATAAATAGTAATAAATGAGTCATGCAGAAAAACATTTTTAAAGAAATAAGTAGAAAGTACTGACAGAAGGTCAAATTTCCATTTAAACTTGAGTATTTACATAAAATTCCAATAATTGTTTTTTAAATACTTATGATTTTCAAACAAAGGCTTGAAAAATTAAATGCTTCATAATGTTTAAATTTTAAAATCTGAA